GAATACACAATTCTATGTTCGGTTGGTATCAGGTGATAATATTGAAGAAAACAGAAATAAGTGTCAATCTATTCCACAATGTTATAAAGAGCCATCAACAACAAACAAATGTTGTACTTTTTCTATTGAGTTGTAAACAACGAATAAGCTTCTATAAAAAAAAAATAAAATTATCATATATATTTGACAAAATAATGTGTAAATTTTGAGCTGAATTACAGCCAGGAACAATCATTCTTATAAAATTAATGTCTTAGAAATAAATGATTAATCATCATTTTCTACATTATCATCTGATTCACCTGTTGATAGACTAACATCATTTCTTGTTAGACCATTGACATTGTTTGTATTTCGTTTTCGACAGATTTCTCACTACTATATTTTCAATCAAATATAACATTTTTCAATTCATCAGAAGTGAATGTTGATCTTTCAGTAATATTCATATGATCTGGTATTTCATGAATACGCTTCAACTCTATGCTAATATATTTTTATAAAATAAATGAATATCATATAAAGGCACTTTATAATAACATTACTTTTATCATTTTGATAACCGCGCTGTACAACAAAAAAAAGTACTCTGTCTTTAATTAATCCATACTTTCGTATCTTCTTGTGAATATAAGATAAACATTTTTTTTTGTCCTCCGTACTTGGCAAATATAAAAGCTTCTTTACAACTGTTACTTAAAATACATGGTACTTGAGCATACGATGGATCTTCTTCTTTAAGGATTAATTGCAATTTGCCATTATCATGTTCATTTTTACCATTTTTTTTCTGTTTATTTTGTGACATTTGATTGTTTTTTGATTGGATGTACACAATTTAATAGATGCAAGAAGGGTTAGTGTTAAAGTACAGTAATCGATATTGTATTATTTATTATAGATTGCAATTACGAAGCAGATCTAATGAAGAGTTTTTATATCACAGAGAAGTTCACAGAATCTTTTGCTTTGAAAATGTAATTTTGATATTGAACATGAGGTTTCAATGAAATTTTCTACAAGTGTTTGGCTCATAGAAGCTCATTAAGAAAAATATTTCACACTTTCATATCTTATCATTCAGAAATTTTCCGAAGATCAAGGTCTAGAATGGACTTTCTGCCAGTAGACAGTCTTTTTCTCTACACTTCAAGATACAGCACCATGGATAGTTTTATTTGAAAGAGAACTGTTTATTGTTTAGGATGAGAAAAAGAGATTATTTCATTTCAGTTTTATTTATTTAGATGTAACATCAAAACCTCTAAAAAAAATTGGGATAGCGAAAGAGATCTTCTACATATACGCGATTTTTTTACAAAACTAGAGGCTGATTAAAACTTTGTTTTGTCTCATTTGCAGAAGTATCTAATATTCAATAAACAAAAAAAAACGCAAGTCACACAAACTTTTTCTCTACATTTTAGATACTGATTATTCGACATCAGTCTGAAATAAGACAATTTCATACATCAATTGCTAAAATTAATCAAAACACGTGGAAGTACACTTCAAGCAGCATATGTAATTAATAGTAAAACAGTTTTTCTTCTGTTTTGCGTAAGAGTATTAGTATGAAAAACTTCAAAAAATTTCAGCACACTTCTTTAAAACTTTTCAATCTTAAAAGTTTTTGAATGAACATCTTAGTAGACACTTTAGGCCACATCTCTTTATGTTCATCTCAATCATCATTTTTTTGACAAAAGTGGATTTTTTGAAGATAGAAAGCCTTCTCAACCTTAAAACATGATGACAATATAGTATGTCATAGTGATATTTAATGCAAAGAAAAGATGAAAAGATCATTTGAATGACTTCCGACTATTCTTAGCGTATAGCAACGCCACCATTTTTTCTCTTTTTTTCATTTTAATATTTAATCAAAAAATAGCAAGATAATGAATAAAATTTAGAATGAAACAAATAACTTAATATGCCCAGTCAAACAAAGATATTCTACAGACGTGATACACAATAGCACGGCTTTCTAATAAATTTTACATATAACTGATAAAAGACATGAATATTCATATGATTGAATTGGCTGCTTGTTTTTTCGGTACCCAGAGAGCTTCCCATGTTTTTTAACCTTCTTCTTATCTTTTTTTTCTTGATATTCGAAAAGAAGTTGAAATAATAATGCAAGAATCTACCTGAATTTTCACAAGTCAGTATCTTTGCCAGTCATAAGTTAGACTTGAATTGACTTGACTTGCTCTGTTCTAAAGACTGCACAAATAAATCATGTATTAATAATGACTAATTCTTCGAGAACTATGATGCTTAATTCCTTTGTATTTCAATCAATTGTTACTGTTTATTTTTAAAATCAAAACACATATGTAAATATAAAAAAAACACTAGAAAGAAATTTAACATTTTTTTCTTTAAATAATGGCTTCTGCTTTAGTGAAATATTAGTTCAAAATATTTGTAACCTAATTTTTCCGTACGACAAATTATGCAAAAGAAAAAGATAATAAGTATGTTAATATTTTTCTTTCAAAAATGATTCTTGATGAAAATTAGTACGTTAGAAAAAAACTTTGATTGCATTTGTGTGGTTTTGATTGTAATCAGACTTCTCTCATGTAATATATCATTTATCAAGATTTACAATATTAATTTTTTGCTTCATTTATTTAATATGTACTTTTCATTTTGGCTGCTATCAATATTAATAAAAGATGAACTCTCTACTTTCACATATAACAAAATATTACTTTTATAGTAACTGAGACTAATGAAAATAAAAATAGATATTGTGAAGATGATGATAGACATAATATAAAACCCTTGAGATAAAATAAATTTACGCATCAGTGTAGAATTAATGATGCAATGACAATGTAGACCGTAGGTATAGTATTTTCTCAAAACATATATTCTATATATAGAACTTAGTCTTCTCATTAATATAAGACTGTTGGAGAGCAAATAATTATTTATGAAATAAGAAACTTTCAAGTAAAACAAGTATACTATAATTATAACAGACATTCGCAAATGTTTTAATTACACTTCATCCATCAAGGAAAATGAGTAAGATTAACTTCTAATTCACTTTTTATCTACATAAATTTTAAGGCACATTTGAATTAATAATTTGTCAAAGATTTATAGATAAAAGAATTCCTTCTTTTCATGTTATTCCTTCGTTACCTTTATTTGTTGAATGTCTGAGAAAAGATTTTGTCGATCTTTTAGTAATCTACCGAAATAACTCTTATTCAGCTCATTTCTATGGATCATATATACAGAGTGTCTGGAAAGTAACTTCCTATTTTTAATCATTGATTACTCTTCAACAAGAACAGATATTAAAACAATCTTTTGACTGTTTTGAAAGGTATCTATTGGCATTTTGTTTCAAGTCCATCAATGTGATCAACCATTTGATTATTTAAGATCGAGCACCAATTAGGTAAAAATATCAGATGTGGCGAGAGGCCGCATACAAAAGGCTTTGATAATTTTTTTTGGTCATTTTGGAACCCTACTTTGCCTCTTTTCAATCTAGCATCTAGCAGAAAGCATAATAGCGGCAACTAATGAATGGAGCAGATTCAATAGCCGTGTTTTGTATCTTATTTTTTTCATCAGCTAATACGTTTTATTAAAAACCAAAATATATCAGAAAAAGCAGCATGAAAAGCTCAATAATCTACAAGTAAAGCTTATTTTTTTATGGTATACTTTTGCTTTTGTTGAAAATAATTAAAATAACTTTCACTCTGTATCTTGTAGAGATTTTCATGCTACATCTTGTGGTATATTTTGTATTATTATCACAAAGAATAGAGATTGAAAATTGCAATGCAAAACATGACTATTTAATCTGCCCCGCTCGTTATTTTATCCGCTTTTTCCTTTTTATTCTCGTTCCATTTTATGCGAATGTTATCGATGGATGATTCTTCATCAGTGGTTGTTGTATTCAAACCATTAAATTGTCACACATAATAATTTTATCGAATTAGTGCTTGATCTTAAAGAATCAAAGGGTTGATCACATTGATTTATTTGGAACAAAATGCCAATCGATACCTTTTCAAACAGTCAAAAATTGTTTTGATAACTGTTCTTGTTGAAGAGTAATCAATGATAAAAAAATAGGAAGCTAATTTTCAGACACCCTGTATATATATACATATCCATGTATAGGTAGTGAGGTCTTTCCTGTTTATGATTCTTTTCGCTTAGAGAACTCGTTCAATCCTAAGGCTAATAGCTTATTCTGCGTAACTCTTAAAGCTAATCAGAGACTTGTCAAACTTTTTCTACTTGTAATAACAAAAGATTAGCACGGAATATCTGTAATCTAGACAGACGATCATGAATAAGTTTTTTTTCATAACTAAGTGAATTATTAAAGAAAATATGTTATAGTTAATATGGATAGTAATTGAATCAAAATGAGTAAGGCTTTTATACATCAATAGATGATATAGTTTTTTGAAATATTATTCTAGATTTCAGTGAAGGATTTAGATTTCATTCTATAGAATAACTTTGAATTATAAGCCATTCTTGATAATTAGAAAAAAAATTAGAAACTATGATAACATAGTAGACATTCATCAGCTGTTATATGTCTTTCAAGAAGTATACAATACAAATTCAAAAACAACACTTATTAACTGTATGAATCTGAAAGATAGTCATTAGCAAAAATGCTTAAGTATCTTACATAAATTTGAAATAACGGATATTTTGTGGACACGAGCCATACTTTATCAGATACAATTCGTGAACACGATTATTTAATTATTGATATTAAACCGTCAATGATGTGTCTACACTAAAACATCATAGGTTAATATCGAAAAAAGAAGAGAAAAAAGAAAAGTAAAACTTCTGAATAAAAGCGTAAGTCAATAGCGGAGACTAAGGAAGAAAAAGAAAAAGGCTTACTATTATAACCACTGTTTATTATCGTTTTTTTTGCCTAACAGTATAATTTAGTACGGTATAACAACAATTACATTATCTTCATAATGGAAACAATTGAAGTATCAACAATAATGTCAACAACATTAACACCATCAATTAATTATACTCGATATTATCATCAATTTCGTATAATCCATAAGATTCTTGTCAAAATTTCATTTCCATATATTTTCTTAATAGCTATTATTGGTTTTATTACGAATACATCAACTGTTATTCTTTTATCAAAAAATTCTATAACAAAAAATTTGAAAAATAAATGGACATTGATTGCATTAGGTATGTATCATGTAAAATAACGGATTAATACTCAAATCTAAGATTTGGTTTATTTAATAAATATAAATAAGAATATTTATCGATAGTTAACTTGAATATTTATTCTACATTAAAAGAAAATATTGAGTATATGAATAAATATGAAATCTCAAAATTTCCAAACCCAATAATTTCATTTCATGAAGATTTTTTTAAACTCTTCTCAAAAAACCAATTAGATATTTATGGCATGTGGTTAATATCTGATTTAAATAGATAACTTTTGTATTCACCTATTGTACATGATTAGAATAGTATAATTGACAATCTATTTACAGAATAACAAAACAAAAAAAAGTCGATCATGTAAATAAGATACCGATGACTTGAATCTACTCAAATATGAGAATATGTACTTGTGTATTAGAAAAAAAAAACCACTTGACAAAATTCTCATAGAACTTGAATTTTATTTTATTTTTCTTATATTATTTTAATAATAATATAATTAAAGAATGTCTTTATTTGTGTTCAATGAACGTTATATCTTGACTTAAAATAATAATGAGTATTGATTAAATAAATCAAGCACTATGTAAAGAAAATTAAATGTTAGAGAACGTTTTAATTGAATACAAAGAAAAAATTTTCTAGTATATGTTTTGTCCAAAATAAATCAACTGAATGATAACGGAAATATGAAGACAAAAAACACAAGAAATCCCTAGTTAGCTACTACAAAATTCAATTAGTTCATTCAAAACAAAGCATTTATCGAAGGACTTGATAATTGAATTTCAATCGAAATTAGTTTTGTACAAGACAGAACAGTTTGACATAGAAGTGCGCATTAAACTTCCCCAATGGAAACTGTTTCGATTACAGTTAGATTATCCTGCGTACAAAAAACTGATAATCAATTATGAAGATTTTCAATCATTTATTATTGATGAAAATTTCCTAAATCGGTTATAATTGTAATCTTTTTTTTTTGCATTATAACTTAAATGTAATGAAAACATATGTTTCTTTTTTCTAGCTCTTAGTGATCTTCTTTTTAATATTGTATTACTTATTCGTGGAGTTCATGATATTATGAAAGGAAATTCTAATCGTCTTTGTATAATAATATCATTTCTTAGTCAATTAGCCCAACTTTTATCAGCATGTTATACTGTTTCATTTACTATTCAACGTTATTCAGCTGTTCGTTATCCATTGAAAGCTGCTGCTCATCGTCGTTCATCACCAATTATTTCTCTTGTATTTATATTTATATTAAGTTCAATATTTTGTCTTATACTATCAAATAGAAATGCTTATGTAAATTGTCATGAAGAATTAAAACTTAAATGGTTTATAGCTGATGCTTTTATATCATTTGTGATTCCATTTTCTATTATTTTAATATTTAATATACTAATTGTAAGTTTTATTCGGAAACATTCACGTTCACCTGTTAGTATACAATCAACCATGTTGAGAAAGAGAAGACAATCACAAAGTAAAGATAAAGCATTTCATCGAGATATTACAATCGATACAGAAAATAATACTATGAATGGTAATGATGCATGTGTTCATACTGATGAAAATCAAAGCATAGAAATAAAATTTAAAAAAGAAGATCATTTACCATCATTAGAAATAAAACATCAATTAAAACGATCATCAATCTCATTGGTAAATATTTATTATTTATAAATAAATAACTTAGTGATGAGAACATAATTAAGAAAAAAAAAAATGCAAATATGTGATTTATTATTGTTGGTTTGTATCTGTTAAGATAAAGCTAAACATCATCAACGATTCCAATATAAAAAAAAAAATCATAACATATCTTCAGTGGATTTTCTATTTTTAGCTGTATTGATTAAACTTTTCTCTTTATATTTACAAGAACTTTGAGTCAAAGGTTTATATATTCTTTGCTATGTATGTCTAATTATTCAAATAACATGGCAAACATCATTATTTTTAGCAAACTCTCTAGCGAAATATTAGTCGATATTTTGAGAATATTTGGAATGTTATTGAGTACAAATTTTAATAGAACTTCCTACTCAAATAAGGTATTCTATAGGCATAGTTTATTCGATTTAACATCTATATTTTAGAGAGAAGTATAGAGTAAACTTTTCTCGTACAATGTATTTTGTCTAAGAAAAATTTTATTGCTCTAATTTCCTTTTGCCTTACATATTTCTTATTCTGGCTGTATCTTACATGGTGAGTTAGCGCATATGTATACTTGAATGGCAAGCTCTCTGTTGCACACTCCTCTTGTCTTAATTTTACCTTAAATTATATTCACATGCACCCTACTCCTATTCTATATAGTTCTCATTTTTTATTATAGGTATAAGATATGTATAAAGACGGTTGAAAGCAAAGTTAATTTTGTTAAAATTATTAGAAAAAAAAAAAGACTAAAGTTTTTTAGACGTGTATCGTTATGTAAAAAGAGTGATATTATGAAACCTAATTGAAAAAATAGAATGTTTCCTTAAAAGTTTCTTTTTCTTATCTAAATCTATAAGATTTACTTATTAACTCTATCCTATTATCATATTTTTCCACATGACAACCATCTTTAAAATGAACTCTAATGGCACTCATACTTATAAAAAATTTTCAATTATGATAATACAAGTTGATTCCGTTTTGTTTCCATTGAAAATAGACTCATTTTGAAAGGATTACATACAGTTCTTTACCTTCGAGAATATCTTTAATTCTTATCAAAAATCTTTTCTTAGTGGAAATTATAATAAAAAAAAAAAAATATTGAATAAATATAAATTACAAGGCTATTTTATTCTATTATTTCAAATAAACTGGTCAAGTTCGTCTATCACCAGACTGAGACAATGATTATTAAATTTATTCTTTTTCTTGTTTTTGTACTTTTTAGTTATTTGATCAAATTCATGTTGATAAATCATTAAATCATCCTAATTTTCAATCTGGATTTCGTTCATTTGTTTCATCAAAGGTTACTTCTCATTTTAATAAAAATTCAAATTCATTATCCGATTCCTTGTCTTCTCGATTCTCAAGAAAATCATCATATCAATCGAATGATAATGAATTGGTTTCTACAAAATCAACAAGAACATATCAATCAATTCGTGTTACACGTATGCTTGTTCTTGTTTCAACTTGTTTTCTTATACTTAATGCTCCAGCACATTTATGTGTTATTGCACTTAAAATTTATACTACTATTAATGTACCAGTATTCAATGAACAAATTGAAATTGATCTTTATGACCCAACAAAAAATTTAACAAGTTCTGAAATAGCAAATTTTGCTTCGAATAATGATATCCATAATCAAACAAATAATACAACAATATTATCTTCATTTCAACATTTAGGAGTGATTGAAGATAATATAGCAATACATCTGTTTTATATGGCAGTTTTATTAACACAATTGATAGCATATGCATCTTATTCAATCAATTTTTTTCTTTATTCTTTCAGTGGAGTTGCTTTTCGAACAAGTCTTAAACAGTTACTCAGCACATTTCAAAGACATTAATTTTTGAACTTTTGCTTTTTGTAAAACTAAAATGTAGCTAAGATCTTCTCTTTTTTTTGCCAGTGTGTGTGTAAAAAAAAAATGCAATAAATCATAATTGATATCTTATCATGTTTTACATAGAGAATATATCAAAGATAACTACTTGCCGAATTCGGTGACTTATCTTGAACTAAGATATCGTATACATGGCTTCGTAGAGTGATGTACGACATAAATATATATAGTATTCATAGACATTATGGTTTCTAAGATTGTACAAAGATAAACTTATGTAAATTTTGATTCTAAACTCCATTCGATATAGCTACAGCTATTCTTCAATTTTATATAATCAATAGTTTTCATCATAGCTTGCTTCACGTTTTCAAAATGGTTCCTTTTCATAGGTCTACGTTATGGCTGGACTATGTGATATTCCAGTATTCTCAACTCTGTATAACAGAACAAGTATCAACATGAAACTTTCTCGAAAATTGCACACTATCAAACTATGTATGTTTCATAGATAGCATATTTCGAAACAACTGGAATTCATTGTCAAGTTTGAGGATTGTTTTTTTAGAAAAGCCTCTTTTCCTATATGAAGAAGCCTGTATATTAACAATATTTTGATAATACTCACGATATTATTAAATGTTTTACTTATCCAATAATCAGTACAGCGCTTCTGATGAATTGATATGGATAAATCTTTTATCAATGGAGACTAATTTTGTGATTTTCAGACTACTGAAGAAAAGTATGACGATATAGAACGCTTTATTTTTGAATTGAGCAGAAGATATTTATAGATTGTTCTTGAATTTTATACATAAATCAAATTTGAATAATAGGAATAAAAGTTTAAAATAGAAATCATAAAAATAACAGACTTCCTTCCTGCAATTCTATGCTCGTATTACTCTCAAGGAATCTGGAGGTCAAAAATCTCTTTCATTTATAAAGGAACCATTTATACCAGTTCATCAGAAGTACTGTGATGATTACTGGTATATACATATTTTTAATAGAACCGTTAAGTATTATTAGAATATCGTCAATATACAGTCTCCTTTGTATAGGAAAAGAGGTTTTTCTAAGAAACAATCTTCGAACCTGAAAATGAAACCTGGTTATTTTGAAAAATGTTATATATGAAATGTATACAGCTTGATATTGTGCAGTTTTAGAGCAAGCTTCACGTTGGTAATCAATTGTTCTGTAGCAAAGAGTTGAACACACTAGAATATCACACAGTCAAGAAATAACTTAAGCGGATAACAAGGATCATTTTTAAAATGTGAAGATATAAAATTGAAGAATACGTGTAACTATATCGAATTGAGTTTAGAATCAGAATTTACATAAGTTTATTACAGAACGTCTTAAGTATCATAATGTCTATGAATACCATGCATATTGTTCAAAAACTACAACGAAAATATAGACTCTTGGCACATCAAAATTTGAGGAAAATTCGATTATTTATATACCATTTGATGCATCGCAAATTGCTCTACAAATCCACGTATATGATATTCTAGTTTCAGATAGGTCACTCAATCCTACAATATTCTTCAATGTTTTTGCTTCTGTGATGATCATGTCCGATCAAAATGCATTTCATCTTCTTCTTATGATGTTTTGAACTTTCAATAAGTAATAAAATTCATCGACATCTGCTGTTAATTAGTACAGACAGAATAAAAACATATTTAGGATTAAAAAGTAAGAACGGCAAGTATATGTTTTTTTTTCGATTCTCGAAGTAACAATAGTATTACAAAGGATTGAGATGAATGAGTCTAAACAGAAAAAAATAGGTTCAGTTGCTCCTTGTACATTTTAATTCGATAAAATAAAGTATTTTTTTTCTATATAGTATATAAGCATTAACGGCAAATGACAATCATCAGTTAACAACCGTTTTGTCCTAAATATACGAAAATGTAGATAAAATTAATTCTAGTCGACAAAGAATTGAATGATTTATATCAAAATATAGCCAGCATTGTTTTTTGTTAGCAAACAATTTAGACTGAGCTCATCCATTATTAATATTTGTCAGATCAGTTTCATTTTCGAAAATAATGAGAATCTACAATGCGTTTATCATTTCAGTCATACCAAATCTTTAAGATAGTTTCTTCTAAGAGATAATAAAAAGCACTTGAATTTGATAAAGTTATTTTGATCCGCAGAAAAATTACATTTGATACATGAAATAATTTTAATAAATTGTCTACCAAACTCGATACGAAAACATTGTCTGAATTTTGGCTTTAAAATTTTGACTGTCGAATAGAAGTATAATAGACTTCCGAAGATTTGTAGAGGTAATGTCAAGAAAAAAAACTAAACGCAAAATTATCAAAATTTTATATATTTTACTATTTCTTTCAAAGTCCTGTTTTTTATATTACAAATAAAGATGACAAAGAATAATAGATTTTCAAAATATAACATTGATCAAATAACTTTTTAAATAGTCCACCTCGTTCGTCATGTTTTTTTTTAAATTAATGTGTCAAGATACATTTTCAAGATTTGTTTTTCAAATCTTCGCCTAGATTGGATTAGAATTAAAAATATTACAAACAAAAAAAAGACATAATAACTCTAACATTTTCTATATTTTGATTAAAGATTGTATGTAACTTTAATCTAATTCTTATCTTCTATCTGATTTTTTTTCAAAACTTATAGAATTCTTCTAGAAAGTTTTTCTTCTTTTACAAATCAACTATTTTTATGCAAAGTAGCAAAAAAAAAAAATATTCACAATTTGAGTTTGCATGGGATTATATTTATTATCAATACATTCGTTCTTTGATACTGTTTAAAGAAATAAAAAACATAGTCACAACACTACATATATGAACATAAGACAAAAATAAAAAGCTCACTGATAGACTCATTAAAAAAAAAAAGAAATCTTAAGCGATATACATTGTTTAAATTAATAATCAAAAGAGATTTTTAAGTTGTTGTTGTTGTTGTCAATGGTGGAGGTTCCTCTTCATTTCTTTCTGTTGTTGGTAATGGTGTATGGGTTATTATATTTTGATCAACAAATACATGAACAAGTTGAGCTTCAATAACAGGTAATTCAAAATGATGAAAAAAATAAAACATTGAATGAACTATAAAACAACAGCTTGTTGTTAATGCTAGACCTGAATATTGACCATTATATCGAGCATGATATGCATAAAATGCAAAATGATATATATAAAAAAATCTTTAATGGAAACAAAAAAAAAAAAAAGAAATCAATCATTATATATCTTTTTTTTTATATGAAAACTAAATTATTTACCGAACCCAATGACGTTTACTTATGGGTGTATGACAACATATACTATCATATTGATCTGATATCCATACAATCAGTATAATATAAAAAGCTAAAGAAAAAAAATACTAAGAATATTAATTAAATGTACTATATGCATTACCAGTTGATGCATCACTGAAAAATTCCGACATAATTGCTTCCATACCTAATAAAATAAAACAGAAAATATTTAAATTAATTTTAATAAAACCAAATGAATATCTTACCGATTAATGCTAATATAACTGTTAATAATGGTGCAGCTGGAAATACAATAGATGTATTATGTTCAATCATACGTAAGAGGTCAACTAAAAAAAAAATACTTTTTAAATCTTTAGAAAATATTTAATTTAAATAACTAACTAATAAAAAGAAATATTTGAAAATGTGAATAACGAAGAAGCATCGAAATGCTAACGGTCTAAAATAAGAAAAACAAAAAAGAAGAACAATGAAGAAAAATTTCAATATTTATATCAATCATTTAACTTACAAATACAATCATAATACATAAAGCAACTAAATATGTCCATAATCGACGATTTTGCCATGTACTAACAAAACGAAAATGATCATTTGTCATTACATTACGAACATAGCCTAAAGAAGATAAATTCATTTGTTTCTTTTTAAAAATGTATATAATTATCTGTAATATATATACCTTTATGAGTTTCTTTTTCTGCTAATTGTTTTATACTAGACATAAGTATTTCTTGATAGCCAAGAAATTGATCAAGCATAAATCGACTTAAACCATTACCAAAACAAGTGTTATTTGTTACATCTTTTATTAGATAAAAAAAAATATTGTTTAATAATAGAAATTTAATAGAGAATTCGAAGGAGAATAATTTGTGGAATGAAAAATATTATATATTGATAAATGAAAATCAATTTGCGGGTCAATATTCATTGAATGATAAAATAATGATTATTCTTATTTCTACAAAGTTTTCTAATTATATAAATATTCGACTAACGATTGAAAATACAAATGTCGTATTTAGGCAGTTAACATTTTTTTTTTCTCGAAAAGTTAATATGATGATGATGATATGTCATGCATCAATGCTAATCTTTATGGTGAAATATTTTTATCCTTCATTAGAAACCTATAAAACAATTTTGAGTATTCAAGTTCAATGTGGATCGTAGTGTTAAGATGTTAACGATTGTCTATGGAGTATAAACTTATAATCAATTCGAATGATTAACTTATGTCTCAATAGAGATCATTAAAATGTATTGTAACTGTCATACACAAACGAACTTCAGATATGAAACAGAGAATTTCTTAAAAGATAGTATTTGATCTTTTCTTTAGTTTTCAATAAAATGATAAAGCAAAATTATAATACTTCTTTTTTTACCTAGTGTAACAAGTAAAACTTCAATATTAAGTCTTTGTCTTGTTTCAGGTGATAAACGTAAAAATCCATATTCAATTGAATATTCAAGAATATAATGTTCTTCAATTAATAATTGTTTAAGCCAATCAAAATTAAATAAAGAATCAAATAAAGATTCATTATCATGATTATCTTGGGATTCGGATAAATAATTATTATCAATAAGTTTAGCATTTTGTTTTGCTTCATTTTTTATAATTGATTTACTTGAATCATCAATTGATGATAATAAAGAAGAACTAATACTCATATTTGGATAAGAATTTTCTAATACGTCACTTTCTAATGGTTTAATCGGGATTTCAATAATAGGAAGAATCTTTAATAATAATCATGATGAAAAGAAAAATTTAATATATACAAAAAAAAGAAAATATCCTTTTGGTTTTCTTACGCCTTCGTTTTGTTTTGATACAGACTGATTTCTTTGATTGTCATCATAATTATAGAAATGACTGTATTGAAATTCTTTAGCATAAGATTGTTGAAGATTATAATCTTCTGGTGGAGATTCAAAAAATAATTCAACACGAAGTACACCTTCTCTTGGCCAATGATTATGTAAATGAGAAAGACATGTTACTGGTTTTTGATTGAATACAACATGAAGATAAATAAGTAAAGCCATACAAATAATTGCCTAAAATAGAATTAAATTATTTTGAATTTTTTATTTTCATTAAATAAATATTATTTATTCTACCATAACAAGTATTGTAGTTTCTCCTAATCGACGAATATGTTTAGGAATGGTTCGAGCATAAAGAACAGCAATACGATAGAATAATGCTTGAAAAAGTCGTTCCATTGTATCACCATCAGCTATAGGTGGTGGTATTCGCGGCGGTTGTTGTTGATTTATACGCACCGGTGGTACTTCACTTGGAATATTCGACATTACATTGTTCAAATGAAAATAAAATCTAGAAAAATATATATCTACAAAAAAAAAAAAACAAATGTAAACAAAACAATTCAAATCGAAATGGAAATGTTTGTCTCTAAAATATCTATATATATATATATGAAACATAAAAATAAAGATTTAACTCTGATTAAATACAGATGAATTTGTATTTGATACATTTTTAATATCATCATCCCAATCTTCATAAATAATATTTTTCTTTGAATAATCATCAATTAATTTATTTTGTATTAATAAATTTTTATCTTGTTTTGTTATAAAATGAATTATTGTTTCAATTAAATGTTGTTCATTATCAAGAAAAATATTTTTCTTTAATGCTTTTTTTTCAACTAAATAATTAAATTTTTCTTTTAATTCATGAATTAATTCATTTGTTTTATTATCAATATTTATTTTTATCCAATTATCAATTAGAATTATATTATTATTATTATTTGTTATATTTGAATATTTTTCTGTTGTTAATTGACTTTTACCAAAGAAAAGTAAAGCATATGGTGATATAAAACTTGTATCATGAATAAATATACTTGATGTACGAATTTTTTCATGATAAACAATTAATGTTGATTGAATAAATGAACGACGGATGTCATCATCCTAGAAAAATTTTCAAATTGTTTCATGACTAAGAAATCAAAATATAATTATTTCATAAAGAAAAATAAAAAATACAAAAACAATCTATGCTTTTGAAACTATTGGAAAGTTCAGATACACCCCTGGGCAAAAGTCTTTCCCCCCCCCCACCTCTTTTTTTCGGCAAGGTTTTCTCTGCTATTATAAGGACAAAACATGGTGTTGTTCGGGCTATATAAAAGAGGACCCTAATAACCCCTAATCGGCCCGAACAACACCATGTTTTGTCCTTATAATAGTAGAAAAAGCCTCGCTGAAAAAAGAGGTGGGGGGAAAGACTTTTGCCCAGGGGTGTATTTAAATAAAATATGAAACTTCTATGTTTCTTTGTAATCCAAAATATAACTCAAATGATTTTAAAAACACTAAAAGTCTACGAGTATCCTAAAAAACATGTTTTTTTTCATAGGAGCTTTTATTTGTAAACTTTGACAAAGCCAGGGATGCATCATATTTTGAAAAAAAAACAAAGTAGGCGCTATAATCACTTTTTAGTATGAATAGAAGAACGTTTCAGCTTAATTAGATGTACCGAGGTTAAGAAACGGAGGCGGCTCTCCACTTTTTTCTTGGAAAAAAAAGCTCGTTTTCCAAAAATAGCACAATAATCCGGAGATTTTAATCTTTTTTTCAGAGAAAATGTTGTCTCTTCTAACTTCCACAATTAATTTTTGAAACATGTCCAAAAACGATTAGTCCTCTAAAAGGTCTTACCATTTATGATTATTTATCTATGAGCAAATAGCATTCTTTAACCACAATGTGGTCCAAAAGCTTCAATGGGACTATTTTTGAAAATATCGAATACATATTGCTCTACTCATGATAAAAATCAATCATGAGTAGTATACGATGTATGTGAGACAAAATGAATTTTATAATTATATTCATAATATATGAATAAGGTGCAATAATTCAAACATGATTCGATCTCGGACGAATAATAATCTCTAGAAAAATCATTAATGCTAGTTACTGATTGAAAACTAAGATGAACAAAAACAATGCAAATAGATTAGACTCTTATGAATAAAATTAATTGAATATGACAAATACACATTGAAAAATAAAAGTTAATTTACATATATCGATATTTTAGGTTTAATATATATCTTATAAAATATTATTCAATATATTTCAAAGAATTTCTAGAGTTTATTTTTTTAAGATTTAATAGATTTATTCAAACTTGAAGGATTATTTTTTTTAATAGCATGTAATAATATTTCAACTGAAACTGAATAGAATCATAAATGTGTCCTCCAGATTAAAAGGTCATGACCTTCTATTATGATAATTTACATTGTTCTTCCAAAGATGGCCTTCTATTCCGGCTTAGTTTTGATTTAGAAAACCTTTTTCTATATTCCAGCAGGCACTTTTTTCTAATTAAATGCCAGTATACCAGGAGTTTTACTAGAAAAAGTAGTAATTTGAATTATAAAAAATGGCTTTTTTTTTGACTCAAAAACCAGCATTTTAGGTGATGAAAACCTGAAAAATTTGCCGAATTTCAAAAACGAGTTGTTGGAAAATTCACCAATTTTTATGACGCCTTATGACAATTTTCCTGTGAGTAACTTTCTAATATAGGATGATTTTGTGTTCTAACCAGGTAATTAGCTCAAGTGACACTCGATGTTTAAGCTCATATTAGACTCACAGACAGGTCTCAATAAGACTAACAAGAGCCTAAAAGGGTTTGTCGCCATGATTTTTTTGTTGCTCAGTTATGATTGGTTTCGTGAATTTTTTATTCATTTGTAGAAAGTTCTCAAAAAAAATCAAATGGCAGAATTTCGATTCACAATCTAGCCTATAAATAGATCTGATGACAATTAAAATATCCTGAAAGTTTCAGTCGAAAAGAATACTTCTTCATCAAGATATTGAATTTTCACAAATAGCCATTTACTATAGATATGTCACAAAAATCGACTTGACTTGAAAATTCAATACTTCGACTAAGCAACAGTGCTTTTTGCCACTGAAAATTCCAGGATATTCTAACAGTCATTAGACCTATGTATTAGCAAAATTTTGGATTAAAAACTTATTTATTTAGTCTTCCAAGAAGCACCTAAAGTAGATCAAAAATCTAGTAAACTGGTCATAATTCAGCATCAAAGGTCAATTGGGAATTAGTTCTATTAGGCTTTTGCTATTTTTCACTGAGATTTGTTTGTGGGGTTCCACTATGAACTCAAACGGTGGATGTCACTTGCGGTAGATTCTTCGTAAAAGGAAATTTAGTTCATAAGAATAATTCTTCAATCTCTGATTCATTTGTTTAGCTTCATATTAAAATTAGCGGATTAAGATTTTAAAAAAACTAATTATCTTGAATATAAATCTATCATATTTACAGCAAATCCTACAATTCAATAAATAAAATCTTCGCAATTATATATCTACAATTTCATTTTTCTAACTTTACTATTTAAAAAGAATTCTTTTATCAATAATGAAAATATTCATGAAAGATCTATGATGATAAATTTACCCTGAGTTTTGCATTAATTGATCTCGGATGTATTAAAATTCGTTTCTCATATTTAGTTTCTAATAAGCATGGTCGTTTTGATGATTTATCTAATGATAGACGAATACGTGCAATATTTGGATAGAGTCCAGCACACATGAGTGCACAGATCAGATCATAATTATTTTTATTTCTATTTGCATCATCTATTTAGAAAAATAAAAAAAACAATTCAATAAATAATCTTAGATTAAATTTCTAAATAATCTAACCTGTATAAGAAGCAAAATAATCTTGAATAAGATGTTTTAATTGATTTCGTACTTTATCAATCATTTTCATATGATTTGAATTAAGAAAATTTTCAAAACAAAAATGATTTTTATCACGATAATTTCTTTGTCTTTTCCATTCTTGATAAATATTTACTAACATTAAATAATCTGACATTGTATTATGACCAAAACGACGACGTATTTCATTTATTTCTTGAATTTTATCAATTGGAGTAACAAAACTTCAAGAAAATTTATATTTCAATGAAGACAAAAAACAGATATATATTTTTCATGAGCATAATATATGGAAACATCTAGGGCGTGATGACTTTCTGCTGCTGAAATTCATTGACATATAACGCGCCCTATTCTGGGACTCAACTACTCTGCACTTCTTCCTCCTGCCTCCATACGATAGGCTATATCTCTATAGAATACGTGGACATGACTTATTTTCTGACAACAATGATTTTTTTTTTTTATACATATAATCAATCATATCCAATATCCAATAAAAAGATTGATGGGAAAAAAAAATGAAATTCATAAAAGAAGATTTTAGATGTAAAATACATGAGAGGATACGAACCTTGAACTTTTACCGGAAAAATGTTTAGTTTCAAAAATTAGCATTGACACAAAGATTTTCATGCTGACATCAAGCACATTATTATTTTCCTCTTAAAATATTTCTAAGATAAAAGAACATGGAAAATCTTTTGAACAACTAAGGTTTTTTTTTTTTTTTTTAGAAAAAGTGTATCTCAATCAAGAAGCATTTATGTCAGCTGAGTAGATATGGCATACAGAAAAAAAAAACATTTTGTCAAGATTCATCAAGTTTAAAATGGTGCTTAAGTTTGCGCATCAATTGCATTGAACACAGGATTTTAGAAAGTGCTCAGTTGAAAAAATATAAATACTTTTTCCAACTGGAAAATTTTTCGAACAAAGTTTTCATGTAGAACAATAGAGCAAGAGGTCCAAGATGATAGAAACTTAGACATTTTCTGAGTGTAGAATTTTTCTAAAGACTCAAAAAAAAACTAGAATAATTTTTTTAAATTAAAAGAAAAAATTGATTATTGGACTTTTGTTCAAATCTTAAAATAATTATTTTATCAAATGTTTACATTGTTGTCTACAGTGTTTCAATGATGAATTATGTTGCTACATGCACATGTTCATATACTTACGGATCTCGATAGCTTAAAATCGATGCAATTGTTAATATTGGATCAAAACAAGAAAATAAATAACCCATAATTAATAATTTTCCAATTTGAGGATTCATTGGTAAACTAAAAACAATTCTTTGTTTTTTTTAATTTCTTTTATATGTTTAAAATAATTTACTGAGCAAGAATTTTTCCAATTGGTGTTAATTGATTTGTCTCAGATATTAATGCACCAATATCACATAAAAATTTTTCTGCATGTTCTATAGCTTCAATTGATGGTGGATCAAGTGCATCTTGAAGAAATACTTTAATATTATCTACATTTAATAATTTAGCTTGTAAATAAATATTATCTAAACGTGATGTAATCATTTCAGCTTGAGGAAAATCAACAAATGAAAGACGTTCACTACAACGTGTAAATAAACGATAACATTCACCGGGTTGTGTTCGACCAGCTCGTCCTATTTAAACAAATAAAACATAATGTAAAATTTTTTTGTAATTATGAATAAAACCTTTTCTTTGAAGTAAATTTGCTCGTGAAACATTCGTTGGTAAAAGACATTTTCCTTGTGTTTCAAGATCATAATCACTTGCTTTTGTTCGACCAGTATCAATAACATAAACAATATCATCAATAGTAATCGATGTTTCAGCAATTGATGTTGATAAAATAACTTTACGTAAATTTGGATGAGGTGATGGTTCAAATATTTCTTGTTGATTATGTAATGGTAATAAACTATGTAATGGTAATATATGAAGATACGATGCTAATAATGTTCTTTGACGAAGTAATTGACTACATTTAATAATATCACTCCAACCGGGAAGAAATACAAGAATTGTACCTGAAATTTTGATGTTTAATTATGTATTGAAAATTAGATATGAAATATTTCAAATTTTTACAATATATATACTTAGAAAGATATAAGTAACAATGATTATTTCACTTTTTTGGGCATTAGGAGAACAATAATGAATAAGATCAAAGATTTCAAAAGAATTTCTTTCTAGTTTTAATGAGCGCTTATTCACGAATAGTTTTTAAAATTTTTATCTGGAATTTTACAGTTATTATTATAGAAAAGAGAAAAATCGATGTTTTTACAGATGAAAATATTTGTCAATGAATAATATAGAAATCTAATCTTGATGGTTCATTTTTTAAAAAAAGCCATCTTACTCAGATATGATTTTGATCAGCGAACTAAATCTTCGTATCGAACAAGCTTAATTCTTTAGAAAATCAATGCAACCGTCGACTTGTATTATTTTTGTTGAATTCATTACTCAATTCGTAGATTTGTCTGCAGTACCACCAATATACCACTATCCATAAGTACCGGTGGGTATAACGGCAGTTTCTTCCTGATTCGAATCATATCGGTAGATAAAGCACTCATACTTATAAAGTCTCCTGGTTTTAAGGTTTTAGCTTTGATTTTTAAAGGCTTTGTGAATCAATAGCAAAAAGTAAAAATAATTAATCTATTGAAGTCTTTAGTGGATATTATGTTTGTGAAATTGCTTTCAGTGAAATGAAATTTTTGTGATATAAGAACTGAAATAAAATGATATATAAATTAGTTGGAGCAGAATTTAAAATAGAAGAGAAAATTTGACTAATATTATACACAATTTTGTAACTATTTCCTAAGTACCACACATATCTTTAAACGAAGTATCCTTTTTTTCAAAATAATAAAGTCATGTTTCAATAGCATCATATATCGTACATGACTTAACTATTCTTTTTTTTTAATGTACAGTTTAATAAACGAACATGAAATAATTGCAGTTATAAAATTTAATAATTATCTTTTTTTTTTCATTTTACATAATTTCTAGGAAAATATCTCTAATATGACAAAAGAAAAAACGCTTATGAGAATGGGAGATTTCATTGCTCTTCGAGAGAAAATTGTCAGGTGTTCCGTTAATTTCAAATAAAATTTCTGATTTTTTACAACAAATCTACTGATTTCTCAAAGCTGGATTTGATAAGTCTGTGATGAGTAATTCTTAATTCTCCATGAAAAGTATATAAATTAAAGTTCACTATGTTTTCCTTAATGTATTCAAGTAAGATTTTTTGAATATCGTTTCTTCGAATAAAATTCAATACCTTGAGAAGATATTCGACATAAAAATTCAATAACACTAACAACTAAATCACAATTAATTTCTAAACCAAAATCAGTGCCAATAGCTTGAATTTTTTTAAAAACATCAATTGATTTATGTTGTCGAGCTAAGTCAAATTGAAGTTCACTTATATAATTATCAAAACTTGTATGATCTATTTCATTATTATATTTTCGATTTGATCGTTGATTATTTATTATATTATCATATGGATATTTTAATTTTGTTATATAATCTTCAAGAAAATATTCTGTCACAGGATACATATTTCCTGGAATGCGTAAAATTGGACAATTATTAAAATAAATACTAAATTTTTCAGCTTGAATCGATGCACTAAAATGACCAAAACAAAATTTTTTCAAAACCAAAAAAAAAACACTTTTACCTCATTAATATAACTTTAATATTTTGACGTATTTTTAATAAACGTTTTATGAAAATAAGTAAAAAATCCATTTCAATATTTCTTTCATGTATTTCATCGAGAATTACATGAGAAAAATGTTCAAAATTAGTATATTTTTCAATATATTTAAGTAACATTCCTGTTGTACAAAATAGAATTGAACCATTTTTACGTGGTAATTGAGCTGAAAGACGAATATGATAACCAACAGAATCACCAAGATTCGTTTCACCACGTTCTTGTGCTACACGTTGAGCAACTGATGTAGCTAATAATAAGATGAAAATTTTTATAGGAAAATATCAAAAAAAAAAATAAAACAATGAATTTACCACTAATTCGACGTGGTTGTGAACAAACAATTCGACATAGACTACCTTGATTTTTTAAAATTTGATCATCAAGAATAAATTGAGCTGCTTGTGTTGTTTTTCCTGAAAGAATAAAATTTTGAAATCAAGTCGTTTCTTTTTCGTTTGACAGAACTTTACCTGATCCAGTTTCACCAACAAGAACAATTATTTGATTTTGTTCAATAGTATCAAGAATTTGTTGACGATAATCAGTTATAGGTAAACGAGCTCGTTGTATATTTAATTTTTGATATAATGATGAAGATTGTTTTTTTTGTAAATCATCGATTAAGTTATGATCAATATTTGGTTTACGATCGAGTGATTCAAAATATTGAAATGAACTATGTAATTTTTCAAACTGAATAGCATGTTCAGCATCATCAATCGATATATTATCTTCTTCAATATCATTAATATTTGTTGAACATTGTTTAAAATGTTTTCGTGAGTCATTTTTATGATTAAATAATTGATGAATTTCTGTAACACGTTGAATTTCATTTGGAGATAATTCAATAGTTGCTACTGGTTGTGATGCAGGTGGATGAGAATTCGATGATGTTCGAGGTAAGTTGGCAGATCGTTGCCGTTGAGCATACCATAAACCGATAGCTTTACCACGAAGATGAGGCGGATGACGATTTGGATTCGATGATTGGTTTGAAGCATGATAATTGAACGATGGATCTGAACTCTTCATTGATGTTGAAAATTTTCTGGGTATTTGAAATTATTATAGATATTCTGTAAATGTCAAAATACATCAAGTTTTGATTAGATCAATAACTTTAATTATATCCAAAGACTGATAGAAAAATCAACATTGATCTGTAATTTCTTTCATACAATGTGTTATAATGAATTTAGCAGTTACCGAATGATAGGAAAATAAATATGAATGGTTTAGAAAGTGAATGAATAAAATCTTGCGAATAGATGTCGCTACGATATTGATAACAATATGTAATCTTTTTAACTTTTAAAAATGTATATACTTAGGTATAGTGGCGGATCTAGGCTCTTTTTGATGAGGGTTGCTTCTGTACAGATATGGGGCAATTTTGAAGCTCATTAGAGGTAATATCAGCTATTTTTTTTAATCTTTTCTGATGAGAAAAATCGAAGTTTCTTTTAAGGAATGAGAGCGACCATTCCAAGCGTTTCTCTCTCCTCAATCCACCACTGATAGGGTAGTCTAAAAGTAGTGATGAAGGTATCTTAGTTCCTTATAAAAAGCTTAAAAAAACCTGATTTCTATATAGGCTGACACTAAAGAGCTATGCTCTATTTTTCTATAATATTTTATTATTCTTCAACTAATATCGTAATAATAAATTTTCAACAGGACGTGCTTGGTTATGATATGTGTCGGTTAAATTAATTCATATTCTGTTCGACATGATTTTTCTTCTTGACTTAATATTTGTTCTTCTTCTCTCTTTTCTTTATTCTTTATTCTCGTCTCCTCGAATGCGTATAGCTATTCATATACATTAGAGTATACGAATGGTAGTGGCGGTGCAACAAAGCCGAAATACAAAGAACAAGTCAGTTGCTTATACTTCGTCTACAAACTCTTATTGACCTTTACGAAACTATTTAAACCATCTTTTCAGCTGTTCTAAGAGAAGAAGCTTCGTCACGACAAACAGAACATAACCATCATGAATAACTCTTGCTTGAGTATTAAGTGCAGTACACATTTTAATGTAGAAGCAAGAAAAGTCAAAAAGAAAATCCATTTTGAAGGCAATATGCGTTCTATTAACCATCACACATTATAATTAAACAAATTTCATTGAAGTTTTATTATTATAATATTAGTTGAAGAATGCTCAGGTATCATAGAAAAATAGAGCATTGTTTTCACTATCAAACTATATAGAGGAAAGTTTTCCTAAAGCTTTTTATAAGAAATTAAAATACTTAAAACACTTCTTTTGATTGTCCTAAATAGTTCAATCCATTATATTTCATTTAAAGTTTAACTGTGTTCGAGCTAGGTTCCGTTAATTTTTTGTCTATATCTTTCAACACAAATCTCTTTCTGAGCTTGCCTACCTTTGAAAAATATTCTTTATCAGTACGAAAACTAAAACAAGCAGTTGATAGTTCACGTTGGAGTCTGTCGTCTTGGTAAAAGCAATTAAAAAAGCTTTTAGCTCTCTCATTCTTGGGATCTTTGACAACATCCTATGCTTCAAACGTTTCATAGACTGCTTATGTATAGTTCTTGACGTCTATCTGGAAAATTATGGGTGTTCCAAAGTACTATATTCATCGTAGAGGCTGTCTTGTTTGTTGGCGTTCGCATTTTGACAAGATCCATAGTTCATTACAATTATTTGAAACTCTACTTGTGACTTTTAATAACTCACAACTACCCACACCCATATTGAGAGTCAATTATCCTTTATTTCCTCTTTATGAATGATTCATATAGCTTAAAGAAAAATTTTTATCTTTATCAAAAATCTACAAGAGAAACTTTAGTGCACATTTCAACTCTTCAAAACTAGAGAAAGAGCGGAGATCAATATTAATGTTAGTACATTTTGTTGTTTCATGTCGTGATAAAACAAATTTGAAAAAGTCCTACATGTAATTGATATCTGTGTTTAATGCAAACTCAGCAATGAGGGCAATGAGAATGAATCGGATGATTGATTCTTCATTCGATCCAATTGGTCGAATTATTTCATTCATCAGTCTATTACTTGAAGAAAAGTCAAACTGTAATTAGAATAACAGAAGTTATCGTAAATACAAGAAAGCACATGTGTGAATCATGGCAACTTTGATGAATATTGTCTGAGATCAATTTTAATTTGAATGAGAAACTGTTTATTACAATTCTTCAGCAACACTTGATTCGAACAGCGTTATCGTAAGAATGGTATTGAGAAGTAATGGACTATTTTCACCAATTGGTGTCTCGAACTTGATTGTTGTTTAGACTTCCAGTCAACTCAATCAACTTGTACAAAACACTGTTTAGTTTAGAAGATAACATTTTTCTAACGTTTTTTGACATTTGTTGATGTCACTCCATCATGGCAACAGAGCAATAGAGTTATTTCTTGACCAAAAATGATGTTGTTTCTGATCACACTAACCAAAATAAGTTAATATTGAGCTCAATGATTCTCCAGTGTACAATTTTCACTGACACTTTGTCGCTATCAAATATGTATTTCAGCCTTAATCAATGAGTAGTAATCGTTGCTGATACTTAATGCGTGACATCCAATCGAAGAAAAAAGGTTCATAATGATTGAAAATGAATAACAAAATTCATTGGTTAGCATGTTGAAATACACAGATGACGCCTAATAAAAGAATCTGAATGGATCATGTACCTAGAGGGACGAAATTGTTTGAATAGAAGTGAAACTAGTGCTTAATACCAATTCGATATCAGATTCAAGCTTTATTAATCGCAATCCAAAAGCCAAAATGTTGTTCGGTTCTATCCGCTTTACCATCGATGTTTATATACAGTACTAAATATGCTTACAAACCAACAAGAACAGGTGTAACAAAGGAAAAATAGAAATAAGAAACCTTTCTAAAACTACAATAATAGAGATAATGTGAAATGGTTAGTAGGAATCGCCACAAAAGAAATCCAATATCATTTCAATAATAAGTTTTTCCTTCAACATTATCAAGTAGTGCTGGAAAATCTTTTAAGACGCTTGGTGGCAGATATATATTTTGTGCATTTAAAAATACATCTCATATACCTATTACAGAACGATAACCTGGTAAAATGGAAGATTTATGGATGATACATTCACTGTCAACAAAGAGATGACTAATTCAATGTTTCTGGTAAATATATTAAATTCTTTTCTTGCAGTATACAATTTACAAAAGAGCTGAAATCTAACATTATTTTACTTCACGAATTTCAATTCATAAGACATGTCTCTACAGCAAGCAGGTATCCACAAAACTGTGTGGATAAACAAAGTTGCCTTATATTTGGTCGATGTATTATTGAAAGGAAGAAAGCATAACATCTACTTCCTTTAGACATCCATCAGCACTAACTACTACTACTCTATTAAATTCTTCGAACGCAATTCGAAAATAACAGCTCATAAGAAAAGAAATTATTGATAAATGATATTCTGTACGTGAGCAGGTTTATTACAGGTGTAGGTAAAAGACTTCGTGATATGGCATCAAAAACTCATTCTGAAGTCGCACTTCGACCAATTTTCAGGTTAGCTGTGTTAGTTCAACTTTTTTTTCCAAAAAAAAGATATTGTTTCTAAGAATCTCTAGTCACATTTTGTCTATTAAATTAGATGCCATGAATACGATGCTAAATATATCGATATAACAATTCATCAAGCTGCTATACGATCTCGCGAACATGACGCAACTCAATCGTTCAAGTAATCATGTTCAATAACTCACGCATCACCATCAATATTACAATCTATACCTACAGTACCAACATCTTTACGGTGTTTAGATCATCTGAAAAACCATATAATACGTAAAGTTCTTCCTTTAGATCAACCTACAATGTTAAATCTGCGCTTTATGATTACGAACAACTAATATAAGACCAGATTAACGGAATCAAGTGGCATATTCTGTCTAAAGGTACGCATTCATAAAGGTTTTTGATATGTGAATCATTTACAATACAACAACAACGATTACTCAACAGGACAATAACATCTGCTTCAAACATCATGTACCCGCAGGGTAAGAGACACTGAGATTAAAAAATAAAATGAAAGATAATAATGGGTACTTGACCATCGCTAGAGGACGTTATTTATTATAACATACTGATAAATGCTGAACTACTAATCAATGATCTGACCTATAATTATTATATAAAATAGCGCGGAGAAAGAAATATATATATATACATATTTGTGGTATGGTTATCCTTCGGTTTCTCTTTATATATTGATAATGACAGAGAAAAAGTCGAAACGTTGGTTTCATATTTCAATAAATAAATTATTCAGTTAAATATGTTTATCTCTATTGTTAAATTAGTAAATTCCTACTAGCGTTGAAATTTGATGAATTGATATAATACCATATACATATTCGTGTAATGAAAAAATCATATTTTTTCAAACACACATAAGGCGATGCAACAAGCATCAAAAAATCAGTTTATTGAAGATATTTGTGATGAGACTCAAAAACATATGAATATATGAAAGAAAAAATAACTCAATAAGGTTTAACAGTCATACAAGCACCTCGCCATGCCCATCGTGATGCTTGACCAACATTAGTTGTCTTTTTCCATAAATCTAATTCACAAACAACTTCGGTAGGACGTCGTTCAGGTAAACGTTTATAAAATACAGGACATGAATAAATATCCAATATCGTCGCTCGACTATTAATTGTTGCGTCAGCACCTTGTTGTTGTTGTGAAACTAATTGAGCACCTTTTTCTGCTGAAACACATGTTAAATGAATCACAGGTAAGGAGGAATATGCATCACGATTTCTAGCTGGAGCATCAGAAATACCATGTTCTACAGCATTTTTATCCGAACTACAACCCCATAAATAAAGACCATATATAAATAGGCCATCCTTGGGTGGTTCACGAATATGTTCGCGATCACGTGGTGTTAATTCACATTGAAATATAAGAGAACCATTATTAACATCATCAGAAAGGCTAAGTGCATGTGCTACTTCTTGTTTAAATATACCAAATAATGACGAAGCATGAAAAAAAGCAGATAAATTATAAGCTGGATGTTTTTCACGACCTAGAATAGAATTCATATTAATCAATAAAAAAAAAAAACAAAATCTTTTCAAATCTACTATTCATACCTTTAGTAAGTACTTTTTCAATGTGTTCAGCTCGCATAATTAAATCGGGAAAGAAGTTATTTAAACCCCAAGTTGGCGGTGGTGCACTTGGGCCAATCATTTCACGCCAAGCATCAGGTATTCGTTGATAGTATAAAGCATGTGCTACATTAGCTAATTCTGCTGACCATTGTGTGCCTAATTGATTCAAATCACAAGCAACCTTGATCGATTGTAAATGTGTACGAATAACAGTTACAAGATCAGTCATTAATTGTGCTTCACGTATAATCCATACATTGAATGGACTTTGAATAGGTGTACCATTACGACGAGCACGATCCAATATTTGATCCTATTCATATTCATATATAAAATCAACTTAGAAAAAATAAATAAAGAAAAAACAAATACCTTTGTTAATACTTTGGGTAGTTTTGAAGCTAATATCATAGCAGAATATTCCTCTAGGGCAATTGTTTTTTTTGTTGAAAATGTGTAAAGTGCTGCCGAACTGAATGCAGTCGACCATACATTTGAAGATGAAAACGATGTATTAATTGTTACATCTAGAATTGTATTTTACAATAAAAATAAAATAATAATCATTCAAAAATGAAGTACGAAAAACAAATACAAACCTTCAACAGGTGTACTTGGTCGTTGATGAACTGCTGTACTAAGAGAAATATTTGCTGGTAAAGCATCAATAATGCGATTAAGACGATTTATAATTAATAGATCATCACCTTTTAAAATATTTTAAAAAGAAAACAAAAAAAAATTCTTTATAGAAATTAAGGAAAAACGTATCCTTCTACCGAGATTTGTTTCATTAGTTGAATGAAGATGACATGCTTCAGGTGCATCAAGTTGATGAATAGATAGTGATTCAAGTGCTTGCTGTAATTGACTTAATTTTGGTTGTTGTCCAAAAAATATCGATGGAATTTTATATTTTATTTTTGAAAATTCAAAATCTCTTTTAATTGATCCTGGTTGAATCCAAAAATCTACTATATTTGCAATAGCACGTTGATCATATTCACTTAATGCTCGTGCCCCATAAATTAATTCTGATAATGCATAACGCATTGATGTCCAAGATAATGGTCGAATATTTGCTTCAGTGGATACAGCACTACTTGTATGAGCTGATTCAAGTCGTACAATTGATTGATCACTTAAAGCGAATTCTCTAGCAGCTACTTGAAAAGCTGATGTTAATTCAACATTTGTAAATGATGTTAATGTTGGTAAATCCCAACCAGCTTGAGCAAATCTTGTTCGAAGATTAAGTACACAATGAAGATAACATAGATTATGTAATAATGGTATCCATTCTGGTTTACTTGAATGACGAAGAAGATCATTATCAATTAAAGAAAATGCTCGTGCCATTGCTTCTTTCATTGATAATGGTGTACGAATATAAGCAATTAAACATAAATTATAAAGTGAAGATGGAAATGAATATGTACGTTGAATACTGAGCCAAATACGTGGCATTGATGGTGTTGATGATGTACGTTTTGAACGATGTTCCCATAGTGTTGTTTCAACATAAGATAAAAATGATGGATTATGATGAATACAATGTAATAAAAGCCAAGTATTCTAAAAGAATGATTTTTAGATTTTAATATTAAAGTAAAATTTGTTTACATTTGTTAATGCTTTATTAAAAGTTTTTTTTAATATTCGTTCTTCATTTGCACCGTTACCATAAATATTAACAAGTTGAAATGTTGGTGTTGTTATTGATGAATCTGTTTGAATTAAATTTGTACAATATAAGAAAAAGTTTACAACTTCATCTGGTTCATCATCATAAAGTAGTACAACAGATCGTTGACTACTTTGACGTGTTAATAAATCAGCATCTTGTTGAAGAGTTGGTGATACTCTATAAAAAATATTCTTATTCATTATAAAATAATTATTTTAAATAAAATTTACGGTATTGTTGTTGATCGAGATGTCGATGGATTTTGTGATGATGACGATGCTGTTTGATTGGAACTATGTTCTTGTGTTAAATATTTTGTTTTATTGGAACTACGTGAAAAACAAAATCAAATTAAATTATTATTATTCATAAAAATTTAAAAGAAAAATTTTACTCTTGATGAAAAACATTTGTAACATAAACAGTTGATGCTTGAAGTAATCGATCACTTCTTAAAGCTCGTACAATACAAAATTTTTGTATTGGTTCAAGTTGTTCAAGTGGTGCTGGTAATGGATAATTTTCAGTTTCACCTTCACATAATGGACGCCATTTAGCTTCTTGACCTTCTTTTCCCATACGTTCAAATCCATCAGAAAACCAATCAAAAAATATAGCTAAATACTAAACAAAAAAAGCAATACCAATATTTAATTATTAGTTTCTGTACCATCAAAATTGTTGCTAACGAGAGAACTATTCAAATTGATATCCATCGTTTGAGCTTAGACTAGCTCTACAATGAGGTCTCGGTAAGACTAGAAAACGTCTAAAAGAGTTCATCCTCATGAACCTTTGGAGTGGAGTTAGAACTATTTTATTAAATTTTTGACTCAATTTTAGATACATGTCAAAAAATTCAAAAGTACAATTTCGACATGATATTTTTGCTAATAGAGAGGTTGAATGTCCTTTCGGATACTATAACAATTTCAGCTGAAAAATATATTCTTTTGTTGAGATATCCAAGTCGTAAAAAAACAATATTCGATTATCACACGCATGATATAAAAATCGAGTTAACTTAAAAATTCAATATCTTGACAAAAAGAAACATTCTTTTCAACTGGAACTTTCAAAATATTCTAAGAGTCATTCGACCTATCAATAAGAAAAATTTCACATCGAAATTTTTCTTTCTGATTTTACTTTCTATAGCTAAAGCGCTAGATCGACAATACAATAAGCGGCAATAACTCGACTAGACAGACTCATGGAAACGAATCCTTTTTGACATTTGCTACTCTTACCAAAATTTTATTGTATAGACCCAACATAAGATTCGATAGCCGGTGTCAGTTAACTTGGTTCTCTCATAAGAAAGAATTTTCTCGAAATCATATCTTGGAACAATATTTTAATTCAACTTTATATTTCTCAAATTAATTTTCTGCTATAGAATTGTTCATTATTAGTTCAAAATATTGAAAATTAACTAAATATACTCGAGATTATTAAAATATATTTTATATGTAAAATATTACCTGAAGATTTTGATATGCTTCATCTGTCATCCAATCAAATGGTTTTTTATATGACCAAAAACGATGTTCATTTGGTAGACGAGCTCCACGTTTTTGTAATAATGCAATGGCCCATGTTGGTGATATAATGAATTCACGTTCACCAGTTGGAATATTTGAATCTAATTGTTGATTTTGACGACGATTAAATGATTCGATCTAAATATTTTTTTAAATAGAAAATTAAAAAAAAAGGGAAAATAAATGTTCTAAATATCTTATCATACTTCCATAGCAAAGTAAATCGCAAAAACACGTCGATCACGATCATTTAATGTTCGATAAATTGTTATAAATGCATTTTTAGTTATTTCCGTCATTACAGCACCCATTGAATGTCTAAAAACAAACAAGAAATCAAATTTTAACTTTACAAAATAAAATAAACCAAAAATGTTTTTACTTTTCTGATTGAAAAATACATGAATCAAACAAATCTATAAAATGTTCAAGTGGCATAACATATTCAGATGAAAGTTGTCGTACATAATGCATTATATTATAACTTGTAGCTGCTCGTTGAGCTAATTTTCTATAACTGTTACGAGTTTTAAATAAATTTTCTTCTTGTACTGCAACTCGATGAGATCTATCCAATAATAAGAATATATTATGTAAACTTTCAAAAAAAAAATAGAAGTTTAATTACCCTTCAATAGCTTCATCATAAGCTTTTTTTAAATCCGATAAATGTTTTGTTGGTTCAACACTTTGTAATAAATTTAATGAATCTGATGCAAGAAAATTTGTTATATTCTGTCGTAATGGATCAATTATTTTCAATGTATCAACTTTTTCCTATTCAATTAATAAGAAAATTATTGATTCGTTTTCAATTTCATTATCTCTTATTTAAAAAAAAACCTGTAATAATGCATATTGTTCAGCATCAATATGTGGCTTTTCTTTGGCCATAAATCGACCTAAAAATATTTCTTCAAGATCATTTAATGCCACATGAAAACATAATGTTAATGTATAAGCTGCTAATTCTTTCGGGATACAAACTGGCTGAGTAATGGTATGCATATATAGTCTATTAATGAAAACATATTCATCAAAAATTAAATAAAGAATATAACTATCTTCAAACCTGAATTTAGGACTACATTCAATTTCTTGTTGACCTATTTGTAATTTAAATGGTTTTTCACTAGATAAAAATCGAGCTTGATTTCTTATAACTGTTTCAAGTTTTTCATTTGTCATCACAGTATTTGTATCACAATCTGTTAATAAAAGATGAAGTCCTTCAGATAATGCAGTTTCTAATTGAGTACGTAATTGCTGTTTAAATAAACAAAAGAAATACAAGATTATTTTAAAAAAAACTAATCAATAATATATATATATATTCTTACATGATATCTAACAACAATCAATTTTTTATTTTTTAAAAATAAACGAACCCATTCAATTGAATACCATGTCGCATCACATATTAATGGCCATGCATGAAGACCGGCATCAGCCATAATAATACATCCATTTTCAGTCATTATATCTGTTGCTATCAGACGAAGAAGTTGAAATTCTTTTAATTCAATTGGATTATATAAAAATTCTGCAAGTGTTGTTATTTGTGTTGAATTTGCTCGATTATTACGTGCTGTATTTCCTGGTGAATCCAATGATTGATTATTTAATGTATAAGAAAAATCAAGAGAAGTTTTCGGTGCAGCATCAATTGGTATTGGCTTTTTTTTTTGAAAAGAGGAAAAAAAACAAAACAAAACTCTTTAATCTTCTTTTTCTTTTGTATATTTAATAGAACATACTTGAAAAACTAAATCAGCTTCTCGAGGAATTTGATATTGTTCACAAAATGAAACAAATTTTTGACATAATATTCTTCTTAAATCTGCATCAAATGGTGAACAATAAGTCATATAAGCAGCTGCTAATATACAATTTGTTAAAGTTTGATCATGTGTTGAATGTTCAGCAATCCATTTTGTCCATTGATCTTCCAAATCGGATAAACTAAAGAAATATATCATAATAAATTCCTATTTAATTTAATAAAAAAATGTCAATGTGAGTTAAAAAAAGAAAAACATGACAATAAGTGAAAGAATTTTCTTCAATCATAACACTCAATAGTGAGTGTTATGAAAATTCTAAATTGGAGGTTTCTTTTTTTTAATGTTTTGTTAGATTTAAAAAAAAAATCACAGCATGCAAATCTTAATCTTTTCTTTTTACCAGACACTCTCATCATCCGGTCGAGCCGATTGATCTCTTCTACAAATATGAAAATACAATGAATTGATTACAAAAATAAACACTATACATGAACAAACATGCAAAACAAAAATAAAAATATTAACATAACGGATATATATGTATATAGATATATATATATATGTTCTTACTGCTTGAATTCTTTTAAATCAAATAAATCCATTTCATATAAACTGATATTTATTGGAAATTTTAATAGAAAAGATTTTTTTTTTTTTTCTCGTAAAATTTGATATATTTACCTTTGTGTTACATTGACGGCAGCTTGTAAACGTGTTTGACAACTTTCGTATTCTTTTTTTAATTTACTTTTATTAACAGCTGCAGTATCAAAACGATTTTGTGCTTCTTCAAGTTCATTTTTTAAACGTGATAAATCATCAATTGTATATTTTGATATATCAACCATACGATGATCATTATCATTAACATCTGTATGAAGACTTGCTTCCATCACTTTTAAACGTTGAATCTATAGTATTGAAAAACAAACGTTTGTTTTTTTCGTTTTTAATTATCAAAAAAATAAAAAAAGGGAATTTTTTTTAAACAAACTTCATTTTCTTTTTCCATTTGTTTTTGTTCAGCTTCTAGTAAATCTTGTTTAAGTTTTTCAACTTTTTGTTTAGCTAAACGTAATGGTTGACATAATTTTGTATATTCAATAAGAGCAATAACATAATGAACAAGTGCTGCTGCTTCTTCAGATGCATAACGAGCAGCAGCTAAAGTAATACGATTTTCTTGTGAACCAGCACCACGTATAGCAGGAACATGAAAATCTATTTAATTATAGAGAATTTATTTTTTTGAAATAAACAATTTAAAATACAAACTTTTTGCATTTTCTAATAGAAAACCTTCACCTGAAATTCCTTCAGATATTCCATCACGACCTTTTGCAATATATGATTCCACAGCTACAGAAGAAAAAAAAAGAAAGATGAAAATTTTATTGTTTGTATGGATAAATGAATTGAAATTCACCATTAGCAACATCAAGATTAAGTCCATCTTGCCAATTGACTCCATGTAACATATCAACAAATCTACCTGAATCAGCCATTAATGCTGTATATTGTTTCCATTGATTACGATCAAGACGTTCAGCTTGCATTCTTCCAGGTCCTTTCAATATTAAAAAAAAAAAAAGAATTCAAAATAAAAAATTATTTTATTTGATCAGTAAATGTGAACCTCTCTCTTTTTCTTGATCTTTCACTTCTGCTCTAACAGCAGGTTTTCGACCAATTAATGTTAAAACTAAATTTCATAATAAATATTTAAAACACACAATAAAAAAAAAAGAAATCTTTTACTCATTTCCATAATTTGTCCAATAAGTACAGGTGGTGTTTGAAAAGCACGTATTCTTTCAATACATGATTTATCAACTTTATTCATCCAAAGTTCAACTTCTTTACGTTTAGATGCTAATCGATCACGCCATTTATCAACTTCACGTAATGATTCTTCATATTCTTCTTGCATTTTAACTTGACGAGATCTTAATGATTCTTCTTTCATTCGTTTAAAATTTTCTTCATATTCATCTGCTTCATCTAAAATTCATAAGCAAAAAAAAAAAAACAAAATTAATATATATATATATAATGAGAAACTATTAAAATAACATTGTTTACCATCCATAAGCCATTTTCTTTCTTCTTCAGGTAATATTGAATCATCTTTTTCTTCTCGA